ATTAGGCAATCAGAGACACTAACCCATTTCACTGGTGTCTCTGGGATCATCTGGGTGTAACAGACACTGCAGGGAGATGGAGCCAGCTGACACTTGGGGGCAGTTTGGAGGCGAGTCATAAAGGCACGAGGATCAGAAACATGACCTCTGGAAGGTCAGGCCCAGAGACTTGAGGGAGGAAAGGGCAGGAAGGCCTTTTTCAGGAGACAGCCAGGGAATTGAGCAGAGAATTCTACTGCAGGGCAAAAAACTCTGCCCTCCACATCTCAGAGCAGGAGGTCAAATATTAGCTCTTGCTACAGAGCCCTGGCCCGGGGTTTCTGTCTGTGTGTTCCTGCCCATGAACAGCCAGGCTAGAATTTTATTACTTTGGCCAAAGGCCTTTGCGGGAAATATTCTCACCCGATAAAGTGCTTGAAATTTTGCATGCATCACCCAGTCTCCCTTGGCTCTATTTTTCTTCTGGTGGGAGCAGGAGGTGAGTTATGACCACAGCCCCTCCCCTGCCAGGCTAGGTGATTACTTTTGCATTTTCTCCTACAGCCATGAAGTCATTTTTTTGTTAAGCAATTTAAAAAGTAGAAACAGTCATAGGGGAAAAAAAAATCTTAACAAAGCACCTAGGCAAAGAGAGACATAACATGTCGCGGTGTTTCGAAAAAGATCATTTTGCTGGTTTATGTTGATATCGTTTAAACTGCTGCATTTCATTGTCTTCAGTTATTTTTGAGATAACCTAGCAGTTCTCTTTTGAAGGCTTATTATGTTGAATTTATGTACATGTTCGTATATGCAGAGGCTTTTTCTTTAAGTACATTTAAGTACATTTCTTTAAGATGTGAAATAAACAAAAAGCTCTATTTCTGCCCACTCCCCCTCTCCCAAACTCCACCTAAGGGAGAGCCGGCCACCCACAGCCCACGTGCTACAGCTGTAGTTTATAAGCTGCATCCCCTCCTCATCTCTTCTCACCACTGCCCCACTGGAGGAGGGGTAACCCAGAGTCCAGACGATGACCTTAGCATACAACTCTAATGGACCTGCCACAAAATAGGAGCTGAGTGCAGTAGTTTTCTTGGTCTGGAATTGGGAAACATGGAGAGACTGAGGCAGCAGAGGCTGAAATGGAAAGCTCAAGGAACGGGACCAGGGTGACCTCAGCAAAACAGAAATGAAACCAGCTTGTAGTTTTCTCTTGATTTGAAGTTTGTAAACCACTTTACTTTAAAAAAAAAAAAAAACAGAATGAATTAGGTCTTTAGTGGAAGTTGGGTATTTCACCACCCTGAATAAATCCTCCCAGTAAAACCAGGGCATGGCATGGAGGCAGGAGTGAAATCAGGAAGTGGCTTTTCCATGTACCTGATGCCGTACCAAGGGGCTCACCCACTGGAGTAATCTAGAAGTTTGCAAAGACCCCATGTGTGTTGATGTTGGGCCCCCTCATTTCTTCCACTCCATGTAAAACTATGCGAAGTCCTGAGTTCATAGAGGCTGACGTCCTTTGGAATTACTGCCTTAACGAGGGAGAGAATTAATCTCATTACTGAAAGTACTTCGTCTTCTTGTCTGACTTTGGTTTTACCATTTACAAAAAGGCAGGGAATCCCAGCTTACTCCATCCCTGTGTTACCAGGATAGATTGCCGATAATGTGAGACCGTGAAGGAGGCAGTGCTGAATGATTCTCAGGGCAGATGCTATGCAAATGCAAGACGCAATAATAGCCATGCTCCTCACACCTGAGCCCACCATAACCTTTGGATTGCCTTCTTGGAAATACGATGAGAGTTGATATTTAATAAAGCTCATGGTTTTTTTTCGAAGATTGTGGTAGCGAATCTTGCTGAGCGGATTTAGGCTTTAGTGACCTTTCTATGCCATTACAAATAGTGTCAGCAGGTTAACGCAATGCAGAATGTGCTCAGTGTTGTAGAGAAAAAGGCTTTATGTCTTTATTAGTCTTTTTTTTAAAAAAAGATTACTTCAGGCTTCCATTTCACTGGTTTGTCCATTAGAATCTGCCCGAATTGGGGGCCAGTTTACGCTACGCATGAAGAGAGCATGATAATCATGCCTATATGGAGAGTCAGCGAACTATGGATTGCAATACTTTGCAGAGATATTGCACTTACTGCAAAGCCCCATGGCCTAATTATTTTATCTACCTCAAGACTTGTGAACATGGAGGACACCTAATATGTGTGTTTACGTGTTTCTGTTTTATTATTTCACACTAAGCTGTTTGGACCTCTGGCGTATGAGGTCTTGACTTTTAGCATCACAATGGCTTAAAGCAAAACATGCCTATTTTATTAAAAATTAGAAAATACATCATATGCACAAAATAACATAGCAAACATATGGCTGGTGTAAAGAAGAAGGATAAAATAAACGTCAATATAACTACCAGTCTGGTCGGAAAACAGGATTAGTGGCACTTAGGAATCCCCTGGGTGCCTCTGCCTGACTGCACACTCTCCCACCCCACCTGGAGGTATCAACCAGCCTGTATTTTGTGTTAATAATTTCATTGCTTTTCTTGGTAGTTGTTCTGTGTAATTATTCCCAAGTAATACATTTAGTTTTGCCTAACTCTGTATAATTGGCATCACCTTCCATGTATTCTTTCTTCTTTAACTTTACATTATCTTTGCGGTTCCTTGACATTGATATAATGTTCAATTGTGAACATACCACATTTATTGATTCATTCTACTGTTGATAAACGTTTGGGTTGTTTCCAGATTTCCACAAGTGTGACGATGCTATGTGGACATTCTTAAATTACGTTTCCTGGTGCAAGAGTTTCTCCAGGGTTTATACCAAGAAGTGGAATTGTTGGATCTTAGGATAAACACAATTTGAATCACGTCAAAATGTTTCCTAAGAAGTTGCGCTACATTTTAATCTCTAACCAGCAGTCAACAGGCATTGCTTGTTTTTTTCTCTGTCTTCATCAAAACTTAAAATTGCCAACCTGATAGTGTAAAGTGATAATACAATGCTAAGTGTTAGACGATTTTTGTTATTTGCCTGATTATCAGTGAAGTACAACATTTTTGTTCATAGGACATTTGCATTTACTCTTTTGTAAAATCCCAGTCGTTGTATGGCTTAGTCCATTTTGTGTTGCTATGATTGAAATAAATGAGACAGGGTATAAGCAATATGAATGTATTTGGCTCACAGTTCTGGAGGCTGGGAAGTCCAAAGCATGACACCAGCATCTGGTGAGGACCTTTGTGCTGCATCATTCTATGGTGGAAGGTGGGAGGGCAAGAGAGTGCAAGTGTAAGAGAGCAGAAAGGATCAAAAAATCCCACTTCTGTGATAACCAGCCCAATCCCATGATAACAGCATTAATTTATTAGGCTTTGCCCTTATGATGTAATTACCTCTTATTAGGCCATACCTCTCAACACTGTTGCACTGGAGATTAAGTTTCTAACACATGAACTTTGGGGAACACATTCAAACCATAGCAATATCTTTTGCACATTATTCTATCACTTGTTTGTCTTTTTCTTAATTTTTATCAGTTTGTTACATGTTCATGATACTTATCCCTTGTCAGCTATAAATGCATTATCTCCATTTGGTGGCTTATATTTTCACTCCTTTTAATAGCTTTTGGTGAACAGACATTTTTTATTTTAATGTAATCAAATTTACAAATCTTTTATGGATTATGTATTCATGTTTTGTTTAAGAAAGTCTACTTGAATGTCATAGACTCCTATTTCTTCTAAAAAAAGTTTTCATTTTTCTTGTTAAATTTAATAAAATTCACCAGGAATGTATTTTTTGTAGCATGTGAGGAAGATATGCCATTTAAGTTTTTGCATTTGGAATGATGTCTCTGCATCATTGATTGAATCGTCTGTCATTTCCCCACTGGTCTTCAATGGCCTTCTGTGATAAATCTCCATATAAGCATGGGCTTATTTCTGAGCATTCGGTTCTATTCCATTGGCTTATTTCTCATACATATGCCAATATCTCACTGTCTTAACTACTATAGTTTCATAAAACATGTGACATCTGTAAGACAAATCCTCCTTCCAAGTTATGTTTCCATATAAACTGCAGAATCATCTCATCCACTTTTATAAATATCCCTTTTGGAATTTTCAATGGAATTGCATTGAATACATGGATCACTTTGGGGGAAATTAATACTTCAAAGCTTCTTTCCATGAATTATTTAGATGTCTATTTAGGTCTCTGTAGTCTTTGATTAAAGTTTTTTCATTTTCTTTATAAAGCACCTATATGTACTTAGATTTATTCCTAAGAAATATGTATGGTTGTATAACTAGTATGATGGTAACTTTAACACATAACATTTTAAAGAGACTAAATTTAACAAATCATTTAATCTTTTAAGCTTACCTATTAATAATTTATTCACTAATTCTTTTAAGTTTTATATTAACAATAATATAATTCCAATTCCTATATATGTATATAGTTTTTTATCTTACCATGCTACTACAGTAGGAGTAGTAATGGTGGGAATTTTTAGCTTGTTCCTGCTCTTAAATGTAATGCTTTTAACATTTTGCCATTAAATACATTATTTTCTAGAGGTTTTCATATAAATAAACTTTTTTTAAGATATCAGGATGATGACATTTCTTTCTATTCCTAATTTGTTTATTTTTATCATGAATAGATGTTATATTTTGTTGAATTATTATTTTGACATCTGCAGAAATGATCAGATGGTATTTATTCTTTAAGCTGTTAATGAGGTAAATTATATTACTCTATTAAGCCAACCTTGCATTCTTGGCATAAAACCAAGAAAACATGATGATTGGCCATTTTTATACATGGTAGTGTGGTAGAAAGATCTAGACCCTGAGTCAGGATATCTATATATAAGTCTTTCTCCAGCTTACACTTTTCATAATAAAACCCACGTGCTGTTGTCAGGCTACCTGATTTTAATTGAAATAGCACTAATTTTCTTATATGTCAATCTCTTATTTTCAGTTTCCTCTTTTGTAAGAAAATTGGAAAGTCATTACAAATTTTAGATGGTATTACAAATACATGAATTTGTGATCTCTTTGTTATTTCCAGTATTATGGATCTATATCCAGAAAAAAGCAAATATTCTTCATTCTTTCTGTCTTTATAAAAGTTTAAAATAGGAAGGAATTCCCTGATTTAACTTGAATCTTCCCTTTCTTCATAGTATCGCTCTCAGGAAGTAATGGTTGAGTGAAAAAGATCGTAGTTTTTTTTGTTGTTGTTGTTGTTGTTTCATTTTATTTATCTTCCAACTTGCTGTGGATAATTGCCACATTCCTGGAGTGTCCATTAATTATACTGGGGTAAAAAATAATTTTACTAGTAGTAATAGACACCTTTTATTGAGTTCCTATTTGCCAGACATTGTGCTAAGTCATTTATCATGTATTTTACTTATTTTGGAATGCAAGATAAGTGAGGTAGGTACCATTATCCCCGTTTTACAGATGAGGAGAGTGGATTTAAAAGAATTTGAGTATCCTTTTCTAGGTAGAAACTTTTTAGTTTGCAGTTGTCCCACTTGTCTAATTTTGCCTTTGTTGCCTGTTCTTTTGGCATCACATCCAAGAAATCATTGCCAAGCACAATCTCATGATGCTGTTCCCTGTGTTTTCTTCCAGAAGTGTTATAGTTCCAGGTCTTGTGCTTACATTTTTTTGTTCATTTTGACTTGATTTATGTGTGTGTATGTGCTGTAAGATAAGGGTCCAATTTTATTTTTTTGCTCAATTTTGGCAACACCATTGGTTGAAAAGATTGTCCCTTCCCCAGTATGTATTTTTGGCACCATTGTCAGAGATCAGTTGACTACATATAAATACAAATTGATTTCTGAGCTCTCTTTTCTCTTCAATTGGTATGTATGTCTGTTTTTATGCCAGCACCATACTGTTTTAATTATTATAACTTTGTATTATATTTTGAAATCAGGAAGTTTGATGCCTTCCATTTTGTTATTCTTTCTCAAGATTGCTTTGGTGATTCAGGGTCATTTGTAGTTTCAAATGATTTTTAGGACTTTTTAAAATTTCTATTAAAATGCCATTAGAATTTTGATAGGGATTGCAATAAATCTATAGGTGACTTTTGGTAATATGGACATTTGGGCAATATTAAGTCTTCTATCCATAAACACAGGATGTCTTTCCATTTGTATCTTGATTTATAATTTTCAATGTCAAGTCTTTCATCTCTTTGGTTAAGCTTATTTTTAAGTATTTTAGTATATGTGCTGCCGAAGCGAGCACATCTTATTTCTGAGTATTTTATTTGATTTGATATAATTATAAATAGGATTGTTTTCTCAATTTCCTTTTCAGATAGTTCATCATTAATATATAGAAAGACGACTGATTTTTGTATGTTGATTTGTGTCTTGCAAATTTATCATTTGTCCTAAGAGGTTTTTGTGGGGTCTTTAGAATTTTTCTACATATAAGAGCATATCATCTGGAAACAGTAGTAATTTAACTACTTTCTTTTTGATTTGGACTTCTTTCTTTTTCTTACCCAATTACTCTGGCTAGGACTTCCAGTATTGCATTTTATGAAAGTGGTGAAAGTAGGCATCCTTGCTTTGTTTCCACTCTTAGAAGTTTTCATCACTGAGTATGGTGTTAGCTGGGGGCTCTTCGTATACGGACTTCATTGTGTTGAGGCAAACTACTTTTATACTTAGTTTGTTGTAAAAAGGCAGTCTACAAAATTGGAGAAAATATTTGCAAAACATATATCTGACAAGGGCTTAAAATCCAAAATATAGAAGGAATTTCTACAACTGAATTGCACATAAATAATAACTAAAAACTGGACAAAGGACTTGAATAGATGTTTCTCCAAAGTAGACATATAAATAGCCAACAGTGCTCAACATCACTAATCATCAGGAAAATGCATGTGAAACAGCAGCGTGATATCACATCACGTTTGTTATCATGGCTGTTATTTTATTAAAAAAATACAAAAAACAATAGTCAACAAATATTGATGAGATATAAAAGAAATTGGAACCCTTGTACACCTTCATGGAAATATAAAATTGTGCAGCCACTATGAAAAACACTATGATGGGTCCTCAAAAAATTAAAAGTGAAATGATCATATAAACCAGCAAGCCCACTTCTGGGTATATATTCAAAAGAATTGAAATCAAGATCTTGAAGAGACATAGGTACTTGTATGTTCATTGCAGCATTATTTACAATAGTCCAGATATAGAAACAACCTAAATGTTCATTGAAAGATGAAGAAAATGTAGTATATACATATCATGGAATGTTATCATCATTAAGAAAAAGAAGAAATCCTGTCATATGCAACAACATGGGTGAACCTGGAGGACATTATGTTAAATGAAATAAGCAAGGCACAGAAAGACAAATACTGCATGATTACATCCCTGAGAAATCTAAAATAGTCAACGTCATGGAAACAGAGTTGAAGGTGGTTGCAGGGGCTGGAGGAGAGGGAGAAATGGGGCATTGCTGTTCAGCAGGCATAAAGTTATAGTTATGCAAGAATAAATCCTAGAGACATGCTGTATAACATTGTGCCTATAGGTAACAATATCTGTATTGTTAACAATTTAAAATATTGTGCACTTAAAAATTTGTCAGAGTAGATCTCATGTTGTGTTCTTAGCACAATAGAAATTTTAAAAATAAATTAATATTTTTTAAAAGGTTGCATAACTTGCTTAAAATCTTACAAGATGAAGCCCCACAATATCGTTCTTCTTCCCATACCATAATGTAGCATCCCTTAGCCTGTTGGGGTATTATTAACACATGGTGATGGCTTCTTTAGGCCATAGAAAATCTAAATTCCCAGTGTACAATTATACGTATTTCCCTTTGTATGTTAGGTTTCATTTTAATTTAAGCAAACCTGTGTCCCCTTCCCTTACCTCCACCCCCCATTACCCCCAACTCCAGGTAAACCACATCAGTAC